AACTGATTTTAGCTAAAATAAACTGCTAAATCAACTGATTTTAGTTAAAATCAACTGCTAAATCAACTGATTGTAGCTAAAAATCAACTGATCTTAGCTAAAATAAACTGCTAAATCAACTGATTTTAGTTAAAATCAATTGCTAAATTAACTGATCTTAGCTAAAATAAACTTCTAAATCAACTGATCTTAGCTAAAAATCTGCTGTTAAATCGGTTGATCTTAGCTAAAATAAACTGCTAAATCAACTGATTTGAGGTAAAATCAACTGCTAAATCAACTGATTTTAGCTGATGAAAACCTTTCATAATTTTTTTTCCCATGATGTAGTTTGATACGTTTTTTCCAGATAATCTTGAAATATTTATTTTTTTCTTTAAATCCAGAGCCATGGTTTCCATGGCGACAGCAGTGTGTTTACTGACGCTGTGTGTGCCTGTGCTCCCAGGGGCCAGCGTTCCTGCGGGTCCAGAGTTATCCCTGCCATCGGCAGGAAAGCAGAGCTCTGAGTTTCACCGAGGAGAAAGCTCACTGGCAGATTCCCATGAACGAAGTCAACATCATCTGCGACGCCATCAGCTCAGACGGTACGCACCCCCCCGTCACTCGGAAAAGTCTGAGTTTAATGATGGAAGAAAATGAGACGACGATGAGGATTTCTGAACTGACGTGAAAAAACAAAACTTAGTTAGTATTCAAACCCCGACACTAATCTTTAGACCAGATTCAGGGTCTGATCTGCTTTGGTCTGACTCGGCTAAATTTACCCACGCTGCTTTGCAGACATTCTCCCTCCTGGTTCAGTTCTGGGCTTTGACTAGGCCATTTAAAGACTTTCCTCTTTGTTCTGTTTTTTTGGCGGTATGATGGCCTCATTATGATGATTTAGCACCCACTGATATTTGGATTTCATCAACAGAAACAAACTCCTCAGCATGATGCTGCCACCACCAGGTTTCCTGTTTAGGAAGTCTTTATAGAACCAGAGAGGTTTTGTTCTCACCTGTGAACAGCTTTAGTCCCTGGTGGATTTTCTACAGCCAGTGAGATCATCTCTCTGTTGGGACGTTTGTCTGAAGGGTGAAAAGATAAAGAAACGCCATCTGCAGAGACAGCGTCCGACTGTCTGTCTGTATCTGATGGAAGGCGTGTTCCTACCAACCTGAAGGCTTTTTAAACTTAGGATCAGTTAATAGAAGCGGCTTAATTTGATGCTGCACAATAATAACATTTATTGAAATATCAACTGTCGTTTCTGACAAAATCCCAGAGGAAGATAGGGCTGCAACCAAGGGTGTAACTTTGGTATGAAAGCTGGTGGGGGCGCTCTAAGGGTGGAGGCGCTCTAAGGGTGGGGGCGCTCTAAGGGTGGGGGCGCCCTAAGGGTGGGGGCGCTCTAAGGGTGGGGGCTGATGGACCTACAGTTACTCCACCCAAACGCTTTCATTAGGTTTTTATATTTTCCTAAATGAGCTCAAATATTTATTGAATGCTCTTCTATTGTTGAGAACACAAGAGAACCATAATGTTCTCATATTTATAGACCGTTATAGAAATGCCTTTTAGTGCATTACATATATAGGCCCAAAAACATTAATGTATAGAAAAATAACGAAAAACAGTCGATTCCGATGCCAAAATTGATAAATCATGCATCCCTAGAAGCACAAATCGATTCCATTCTTCCAGAAAAATCTGGATATGCTGCATTTTAAAAATAGATTTTTTTTTCCTTGTAAACTTTCTGGTAAACTTGGAGATATATTTTATTGCATGTTGCATATCCCAGTAGATCGGTTTACCTTTAAATCTGCAGCTCTGCCTGCTTCTCTCTGTGCTGTTTGAAAAGATTTATGAACCTATTTACTGATATAATGATGCTAGAAACTAAATATCTAGATCTGTAGAAGCTCTGC